TGATAATGCGCTCACGACTACAGCTTTAAATAACATGTTGCTACCATTTAAAAACCCCACAATAAATTGGTTTTATTTTATTTACATCTCTATCGTATCAGTTTTATCCCACCTTATTATCTTATTATCTCCAATATCGTATCACTTTCACAGTAACTCACGACCCCAATAATCCAGTGCCTCAACAATAATTACCGGAAACGTCATTAGTATAGAGCGAAGTGAGAATTTTTGAACTGTTTGATAAGTAGACGGATTTAATGTAGTGATTTTTTGGATAATGAAATGAAACTTCTGATATCGAAATAACTAAAAATCAGTTGGTCAATAACTCAGTAGATATGAGTGCAGATGAAATTCGATAATGTAACGACGATGCCAGTAAAGAGCATCTCTCGCTTTGATGGGTGTGCTAGATCACAGAGGGCTAGTGTATATCGTGGCATAAGCCAGACGCAGACGAATGCCAATACGTCACGTCACGTCAACAACGTCATCATTTCAGGGGAATGCTCCGTAAAACCTTATTTTTCACCGGAATGGTTCGATTATTGTCTTCACGGATACGATTCGCAAAACTCTTAATTGCAAATTATTTTAGAAATTAGTGAACATGTAGGTATTCATGTACGATTTTAACGAATCTGTGAGTCAAATGAATGACTTCTCAACCTCTGCCTATTATGACGATATTGTTATGTTGCTGCATTTATGATCTTGACATGTCCCTTCCATCCGACCTTAAGCATCATGACCGGGTCAGTTGAGACCAGATGCTGTATTTTCGGCTGATGCAANTGCTATGGTGTATTCGTAAAGTCATCATTAATCAGCCATACTAAGCGAGCTTTCTGTGGTAAAAATTGCAACAGTCGAAAACTCATATGGATCACATTCCAACAATCTAAAAAACGTATCTTGATTATTCGTTGTGAATGATTTCTTTATCTCGCCGTTGAGTGTGTGCACATTGTCTTGTTCGTTGACAACAGTCGTTCAGTTTTATATATTAAGCATCAGATAATATTCTTTCACACAACACAATTTTCAGGATTATATTAATCATACGAAAGCCTTGAATGGCATTATACGATTCGGATTCAGATTCAGACTCTTTTCATAGTGTATCTGAAGGCGAATACTCAGATGATGATAAGAAGCAGAAGGCTTTTGCTGCCAGCGAAGATGGCCTCGACGCAGAAGACAATCAACAGCCGAATAGTGAAGCGGATAAGCGGCAGTGTCAGGTAAAGGCTGATAAAGAGTCGACGGAAAGCTTTGGTGGATTAAGAGAGTGCACAAATAATGAATCAGAAGAACAAGAGTGTGAAAAAAGTGATACTTCAAGGGTGAGTAATACTGTAATCGAATCATTCGTATCACTGGAAGCAAAACAATCGCGAACTTCGGAAACTGAAAGTAATTTCGCAAAATTGAATGATTCGGTGGTTTTGAACACCAAGTCATCAACGTCAGCTGGTAACGTCAACAGCGATTATGAAATTATCGAGAAAAAACCTCACAAAGCCACTAAAGAACGATGTAACGATGATGAATGTGATAGTCCCGTGAGAACGACTGATAAGCATGAAACTAACCAGTCAGAGGCATCTTATGAAGGATCGTCAGCGCAGCAGCCAGATTCAAAATCAACAAAAAGTGACGGTTGGGGTGGGTGGGATGATGAACGGCATTCAGAGCATGACGTGAATGTTGATGAAGAAGACGCATCTGGTTGGGAGCGATGGGAGACTGATGATTTCGAAGTGGATCCTAATCGGATGGAATCCAAGTCTCAAAGTAAATCTCTTACGGAATCAACCGAAAGTAAAACTGACGTGGAACAGGAACACTCGGAGGCAGAAAAAGCCAACCCAGAATGTGGCAAGAACAATGCTGTTCGTTCTCTCTGTAGTATTCTGATGCCCAAAAAATCATTTGATCTTCTTAAGTAATTTGCAATGCTACCTCAATTTGAGGGAATAGCAATGAGACATCATATTTTGTTCTTCAACGAAAATTCAATTCCGTTGTTGATTTTTAAGGATACTTTTCCCGTTATCAGACTATAAATTATTTAGTTAACGCTTTGATGCTCGTCGATTTTCTTTCCTTTAAATTTTTAGCAATTGGAGTATTGAAGTATGAAAGAGTGCTTTCTGCATTCATATACTCTCAATTTATCCTGCACTTTGTCATGAAAATTTGTACCGAAATAAGTGAATTCATCATTCAAAATATTGTCGAAATTTAGGATCAGAATGCTGAGAAACGAGGTGAATCTGGTAATGAGATGAACAAATCGTCATCTCTATGGTCTTGGACGGATATTGTCGGAGCTGTTGCTGCAGTTGGTTTGTTTCAGATTTACGGCAAATTCAATTTTTTTCTTTAGTTGTCATATTCANCGTGAGTTATGTGATAGAATTCTTGGTAGTTCATCTGACAACCAGCTCTGAATGTGAATCATTTAGGTGAGGGTATTTCAAGCGCGGTTGAATCAGGTCTTGGTCTTCCGTCACCTGAAGAGATGGTTAAACTTCAACACGAGACAGCCGAACATTCAGAAGAGAATGATGAGAAGAAGGTGCCATTATGATTCGATTGTTTTACATTCATGGAATTATCTCTCAAAATATTCTTTCTCATATTTAAGCCTATTTTTTAAAATTTTCGGCTCTAACTTCGGTTTTTTCGTCTACTAGAATCCAAAGTTAAGCGAATTCTGTAATTGAAAATCTTGTTTTGAAAATTCAAGGAATATATTTATGTAACGAATATTACTTCAGGAAACCGAGGGGAAGGGTGCGGCATCTCACGGTTCATTTGGTGGTTTTGTAACGGGTATTGGGAGTAATCTTGTAAGTGGTTCATTAAATGTACTCGAATCACTCGGAAAAACGACGTTCGAGAAGCTGACAGTTCAAGATGAGGTAGCTAATTGCACGATTCACGTAACATCTTTGCTTTGTTTATCGATCGTAGCGAGTTAGGATGATCGGCGAAATAGGTTTTCAAGAAAGCATCCGTTTAGGGCTCGAAGCGACGACGTTTAATATTCGAGCACGATGCCGGTCAAAATCTGTCAGATGTACTGAAAGAATTGCGTGATTCTCAGCGAAATGAGCAGCAATCCACATCAGATATTTGGTCAGATCAATCGGATCGTGAAATCAAATTCATTGATCTGTTCGAAAAATATGGTGGATTGGTTCATCTGGAAGGTCTTGAAATGTTGTCGGAAAACTATTCGAAGCATTTGCCTTTTGAAAAGAAACGGTATGTCGTTACTGTTGGTTTTTTTTTTTGTCATTTTCAGGTTGACTTTGGGTGATGATGAATAGAGCTTCGTGCTTCAAGAGAATTCACATGTTCTTATTTAGGGAAATCCTTTAAATTCAGGAGTTACCTGAAAAAAGCGCGGGTCTGAATGTAAAAGCATTCGAAAAGTATACTTCTGTAGTTAATGTGTTTATTGAATGCATTCTGATTGTAGTTGTATTCCAGTGAATCCGAATTATTGATGAGTGACGTGCTCAACGAGGGCATGACCGACTGCCACGAAGATGAGAATTTCAGCGTACAGTTAAATCGGATCCTCTCAAAAATCGGTCTTCCTTACAACGTAGGAATGTTAAATATCTTGAACTCGAAACTGTAGATCGCCTTCTTAATATTGCATAAATAACTGTGCATTCGATTATATTTAGTTGAGTGTGAGGGGGAGGAAAGAGTAGTCGAGGTCGCACAAAATAGATCAAATACTCCAACATATTATCGGATGGTGGAAGTAGTTTGGAAAGAGTCTTAACGATACGAGTAGTGTGACGGTTGGGAGGAAGTTTTCATTTGGATCATTATTTGTGTGTACATGATTTATTCTCATCAACTGTAGGGGTCGAATCTGATCGATTGTGAAGGGCGTTGTCGAACACGATCACGAGTTGCGTCAATGGATGCACAGAAAGCATTCAATGATTATCTTGGTTTGTCGTCCGTTCGACTCGCTTATTTGAATTACATTAGTCCAATTCAAGAATGTTTGTACAATTTTCACGTTTTATTGCTTCGCTTTCATTAAGCAAACAAAACTCTATTAGATAATGTTTTCTGCTTTAAAACTTCTATCTCTTACATAGTAATGTCGATTGATTCGTTCACTTCGCAATCTATGCTATTTTCTACAATCGTTTTAAAATCAATTTAACAAATGCCATCATCGTTTCACTCAATATATCTTCATGTTTCCACTGAATTATAGAAATAACGGCTGAATTAACGGCGAATAGTGTGGAGACGTTGCACAAACTAGGGCAGTTGATGTTGATTAGTGTGAAACGACCCTTAGAAAGACCGCTGTTGGACTTAGTTGCTCTTCTGGGACGAAGGATTTCGTTTTTCAGTAACGAATATGCGGATCATTTGAACTCTCTCGACGACAATACTGACAAAGTTAGCCGTTTACGTGTTTTCTTTTTCCAGTCATTTGTTTGCTATTTGCATCTAAATTAAGGTTTTTCATCCAGTCGGCTTTACCGAATAAATTGATCGATTGCGTTTTAATTCATTTTTCAGAGAATATGCTTGCAATTTCAGTTGTAATTTCACGTTATTGTCGGTGCGCTCAATGCACTTTTTTGTTTAATTCGTTCATTTACAATTCGAGCATTTCTTTGTGTTCTCGTCATATCCTTTGATATTTTAAGATCGAAGAATACGTCACTACAATATTCTTGTCTGCTAACGATGCATTTACCTACATCCAGCAGTCTGTTCGACTTCTAAGACCGTTATTAATGGTGAAAGGAAATCGGCAAGACTGATTTTTGTTTTTCCATAATCCACTTTTATTTGGCATTACTGTGTGTAACTACCGGTTATGCGCTTTCATTTCCTTTTATGNATTCATTTCATCAAAATATGTTTGTGTTTTTTCTCATAAGCTTATTTCGAAGAGGTAGTATGCTTCTTGGTCGATTCATTGTCTTTCGCTGTGGAAATGCTTTCTTAATTCTGCTGCAGTATTTAATCAGTACTAAATTCTCTCCACGAGCAAACGTTTTCTTAAATATGTTGACTTGATGTTGTTACATATAGAGCGGAGTATTGCAGCTGATGCGAATAATTACTCGTTTCTTCATTCAAACAGTCGTCATAATATGAACACGTCATACTATGGCAAAATTTTTGTTAAGATAATAACTGGGAAATTTGATTGATTCGCTTACAATTCAGTATTCATCATGAACGGTTTCGCTTCAAAATCAGTTGGCATGAAGCTGCAGTTTCTGCAACACTAGAAATGCTTGCAACGGTGGTTTCTTTTAAATGCTCATCCTGTTTCTATTGTTTTGAATCGGTGGTATGGCTGACTTCAGCGTTGTGTTATTCTTTTGTGATTCGTGAAATTTCTGTGATTTTATGATATTTTTATCATTCATATTTATTTTAAATCTCATTCATCATTATTATTGCATAAAGAATTTGACGATCGTCTGTCGAATTACCTCATAGTCAATATTTTTTAAAATCGTTTCATCTTTATCTTTCAACTTACTTAGCACTGAAGCAATTCCGAGTGTTTAGAATGAGAATTTCATCATAAAAAGTTTTTTGGATTCGAATCTCTGCACATTTTTGAATTCATTCTTTGCTTAATTGATTCTGTTTCTGTGAAATTTTCATTTGGAACCATTTTTATTCACCATTCGTCCCATTGTTTCTGTGGGCGAAAGATGTAGATCACCGATATTTATGTTGAATTCAAACGTATGCTTCTGAAGCAGCGTGTGCCTGTAGTTTCTGATTGCTTCTGAGCGCGAGGAAAGGGCAAAAATGCTGGATGTGCTGATGGTGTTCCAATTATAACATCATAATGATGATATTTCAATTATAATACGATCTATTGCCGTGAACTAATTTTTTGCTGTTGTATTTGTAAAATATTTGGACGGATATGGTTAAATGAATTTACAATCGTTATCGCGTATAATTTGTTGAACTGTGATGAAATTGTACATTGAAGACAATAGATATTTAATGATTTGAAAATGGAACGTTGTTCGAAGGGGAGATAATAAATGATATCCGTTGTCGTCGAATACATTCGGCAAAATACAATCCACTGTTCTCGAGGATGACTGTTGCCATTCAAGCCTCCATGATGAAAAATTTGACGAAATAAATACTTGTGAGGCACTGAAGCAGCAGTTTATCATGCTGTAATTTGTTCGTATTGTTAACTCAATCAGCTTGAAATTCTTAAAATCACTGTAACGATTATGCCCCAAGAAGTTCATGAGGATCTGGAAATCGGTATGATGTCGTGAAACGGCGAAAAATTGACGATATGTTAAAAGAATAACGAATATTGTATGGTTGATGGTTAATGTAAATCAGAATCAAGTATTCTGTCCAATTCATCACCATGCGATTGACAAAATAGGTCATTAATTTTTCAAATCTAGCATTTCTCACTACAAATCGGGCACCATTTTTTATGGTTCTGACCAGTTAGGTAGAATTCATTTGCAAAATCATTTTTTGATGTGTTGCAGTTGAGCATCCAGGAGGGTGGAATAGGATAAGTGCCATGTTCAACTTGATTAGGAACGTTGCAAGTTATGCAGCGCCAGAGAATTATCAAGCAATTGCGAATGTGTATAATCGTGTCGCCGAGGCGTTCACCCCGTCATCATCGAAGGTATATCTTCGTTCTCACTGATGATCGTTTTTTACACGTATCTTTAGGTGATATAGCAAACGATCAAAATTCATACGTCACCGCCGTTTTAGTTGATCGTGCGATTTCACTGTAAATGTTCAGAAGATCGAATCGAATGGTCTTGCTTGCTTTCTTTCGTAAGATTATAAAATATGATGGAATAAGCAGAAGTTAACGATGTTCAAAGAAGATCAGGACCTTTTTCTTAAATATCCTTCAAGCAAACAAAAACCTCATTCGAATAACATTTCCGCATTTAACGATCTTTTGAGTGAATACCCTCTATTCTATTGACCATTCGAAGCTGTGTTAGTATTTTGACGAAAATTTGCTAATGTATTTGATTATAATAATGTTCCTTTTCACTGTTGGAAAATTTCAGGTTGAAAAAATAAGTGCGAGTAAACTAAATTCATTAGCAAAATGTGATTCATCAATGGTTTTCTCGATCTATTCTGAGCGAACCGCCAGTCCGATATTCTATGTGATTTATTTACCAAGAATGTTGATTGTGTTTCGATCTCAAGTGAAAGCAGATGCAGATTTGATACGTAGTTCATTCTCAAATCTCAGTAAACTTATCAATGCGTTAGGTAGGTGGTATGGTTTATTTATTGCTGGTGACTTTGAATTCTTATCAGTCATTTAGTGAGTCCAATAAAATTAGTTATTTGACTATGGGTCGTACGGAATATTTGAATCGTCATTGTGTTTTTCATGTCAGAGAAGAGTCTGATGTTGGAAGAATAGGTATATACAATAATTCGTGGTGAGCAAATAAACGGTTCGAGACGAACCATAATTTATTCATTAACCAAATAATCGGTCGAGATAAAATAGAAGTTGTGATATGAAAAATTGCTAATCAACACAACGGCACCAGTGGCACAAAACCGCACTGATACATGCCTTGCGTAACCAATAATCGGTTATGTTTCAACATTACTATTAATACAAGTTGCCTACAAGCAATCAGTGTAGGTATAGAAAAAAGAAAAAAATAGGACCGATTAAGAAAAAAAATAGGAATAGTACACATGGTTCGTTAGTAACATCAAACTTATCACGATGCTTCATTTTATTCGACGTTCTTTTTTTGTTTTAATTGACTTCGAGATCGTTGCAGAGAACCATTCGGAAAGTGATTTCGTGTCTAGAATGGACCGATTAAGAAAATCTGTTGAGGAGAATCCATCGTTCGGTGTTATTCATCACGCGAGTGCTTGTGACTTTGCTGATGCCATCACCAAAATTTGCTCACAAAGCGATGCACAAGTGTTAGAATGCATTCAAATATTTTTGAATAACAAGCGTTTCATTCGTTTTTTATCACTTCACATTACTGGTATCTCCTTCTGATGGCTTAGTCGTCGAAAAGAATTTCGGCTTGAATCGCTAGGATTGTCGAAATTTCGTTTGAATTTATAGCTGCTCAAGTTTTGGATATATCAGTAAGCGTGCTAAATTATAATTCTTATTCATCGGTCGAATAATGCGCCAGTTCGAACGGTTATCAGTTCTGTGCTGAATTGAGCAGATCTGTTATTTTTGAACGTGATCGCTGGCGAAATGCATAAAAGATTTTTTTAGAGTTGTGAATGAGGCATCAATAGATGGTCGATTTCCACTGCAAATAGCAGCNGAGGAGTCGCTTCGTGTTCTGATTAGATTTGGTGCCGATTTATCAAAACAAGACTCGAAACTTCGTAACGTTTTACATTATGCCGCAGAAAAAAGTCCCAAAGTGTTGCAAGTGAGTGTAGCGATCATTATGAGCAGTGCCGCCTTCAGTTGTTCGAGCGTAATCTTCAACAACACCTGACATTCTTTCTGTTGTTATAGATTTTAAAAGCGTCGGATCGATTCGAAATAGCAATGAATCAAATTGATGAGGATGGTATGACACCGTTATGTAAAGCCATCCAAGCATCACAGATCGACTCTGTTAAGCTGCTGCTTGATTCGGGTTGCTCTAAAGGTCCTTTCCCAGCCGGACCAATTGCAGCCATCTTAACACTCGCTGATAATTCATCAAATCGTTTACCTGAGTTAGTTGTCCAATCTTTATTTAGATCCGTTTTTTTCGATTCGCTCACGGCTGAGTCAAATATCATCTGTTCCATTCAAGACTGCTTATTCGAAACTTTTTATTTTATATTGTTTCCGTTCAGTTGCAATCAGTTTTTGATGACAACTGACAGTTTTGTTGGTTCAAGAACACAGCTACAACGTCAAAAGTAACATGTAATTGCGACATCAACGATTTAGGAAGTGAGCAATTTGGCCTGAAAACCTTATACTCTTATTGTTAGCAATCGCTTTTTGCAGACTGGTCGACACCATAGCGAAGAGATGTCCTAACTTTCTGTTCGAACGAATACATGGAACATCGACCATATTACATGAAGAAATGGATAAAGCGGTATGTGAATGCTGAATCTCAGCGAAAATTACTTTCTGGCAATCGTTTAGTGAATGAGAAATCAAAAATTCATCCAGTGCTGTCACAGTTGTCTAGTCATGCCTAGTCATTTCTATTCTCGAATTGCCTAGTCATTTCTATTGATGTAGCTTTTAAAAGCATTGGATCGATTCAAAATAGCAATGAATGCGACTGATTGGGAGCACTCTCAATGTCCTTTTATAGCAAGATAGCATTGAACACTCACTGATAAGTCATCGAATCCTTTGATGTTTTTTAGTAAACAGAAGTACTCCTGGAATGCTTACATTTCGTAGTGGAGAGAAAAGTATCACTGAAGTGTTCACTGAAATTGAAAATGCTGCCACACTTATTGCAAAAAAAATTATAAAATCGTTCGATGTCTGAAAATTTTTCGCGATGGAAATGATGATTGTAGTTGAGAATGAACGTGAATTAATTGCAGCTTTTGTATCACATATTAGAGGGTGTTGGCCAAACGTTGGACGTGAACGTGCGTGATGGTTTGAAACAAACACCGTTGCATTGCGCAGTGCGAAGAGGTAGTCTTGAGCAAACGATCGCTCTTCTAGCGTTTGGATGCGATGTGAATGCTGTCGATGAAGATGGCGATACTGCGTTGCATATCGCCATACAGGTATGTACACTTGATTACGGATCGCTTTTGCACACAATTTTGATCATTCATTCGTGGATTTTGAAGTAGTTGAATTACTCATTTGCTCTTTGAAGTACTTGAACATCATAGAGTTGAAGTGTTCATTAATCGTAAGAGAGAGATTTTTTAATTGTTAAGAGAAAATTTTTGTTTTTTTCTGAACTTCCAACTTTTTATTTTCTTCGGATGCATTTCTATTTATGACACTAGTTTTTATTGCGCTGTAAGTTTTTTGATTGAATTTTGATCGAATCAAATTGGCACTGAATTTCGTGCCCTTTTTGGATGGAATTTGGGTCAGATTTGTTAATTTGTAAATTAGAAGTAATGTTCATTTCTAATGCGAAATTATAAACTTTCAT